TCTTGCCTTTTTGCCAAATAGGCGTCTTTGCGACTGCTGCCAATGCGCCCAAAGTCAAATGGCCACTGCTGTTCTCTCCTAGAGATGCTTAGTATACGCCCTTCTGGAAAGAGACTGTAAAAACCAACTTGTTAAAAACAAAAACAATCAAAAAATTAAAAAAAAAATAAAAAAAAAACCAAAAACACAAAATAATAATAGGGAGGTAGGTTACGTATACAGCATTTGTAGGCAATGGGATTAAAAAGACAAAAAATGATTACGAAGAAGGTTAACATTTAAACATTCTCAGTCGTGGGGTGCTCTGGCCAACATGGTGAAACCCTGTCTCTACTAAAAATACAAAAATTAGCCGGCCGTGGTGGCTCACGCCTGTCATCCCAGCACCCTGGGAGGCCGGCGGGTGGGTCACCTGAGGTCAGGAGTTCGAGACCAGCCTGGCCAACATGGTGAAACCCCGTCTCTACTAAAAATACAAATATTAGCTGGGCATGGTGGCGGGCGCCTGTAATCCCAGCTACTCGGGAGGCCGAGGCAGAATCACTTGAACCTGGGAGGCAAAGGTTGGAGTGAGCCACGATCATGCCATTGCACTCCAGCTTGAGTGACAGAGTGAGACTCCATCTCAAAAGAAAAAAAAAAAACTCATGAAATTAAGTGAAAAAAGCTAGCCATAAAATTATTTGGTTCTACTCTCATCTTAAATAGTTTAAATACACAGATATACAAATAGCAAAAATATATACATACACACAAATGCAAAAAGGAAACAGGAAAACACATGAAAACATCAACAGTTGTCTCTGAGCAGCAGGATCTGTAAGTTCTACAAATAATTTCAAAGCTCCTACTCTGTGCCAGGTCTTTTCTAGGGTCTGGGAATATGTCAGTGAATTAAACAAATGCCCCGCCCTCTAGAGAGAGACATACCACAAAAAGAAATAAAGATGGAACATAAACTCAGAAAATATCATGAAAATCAAGTAGGGTAAGAGGGTACTGATGGAGGTAGTACTTTACACTAGTTGGTACGGGAAAGACTCTGATAAGACATATGAGCAAAGATCTGAAAGAAGTAAGCAAGCAAGTCTGTGGTTAACTAGGGAAGGAGCAGTCAAGGTGGAGAGCAAACGTCTAAGGTAGAAGTGCTTAACGTCTGTGGAATGGCAAGGAGGCCAAGGTGCCTGGAGCTGAGAGCCAGGGCACAGAGGAATGAAGCTGGAAAGGCAATCAGGTGGCATACCTGTGGAACCTTTATAGGTAAAGATTCTGGGAAATCAATGGGGTGTGGAGAGCAGGGAAGTAGAATGATCTGATTAAACTGATCTGATTAAACTGTATATTAAAGTAGAATGATCTGATTAAACTTTGGCTGCTGTATTGAAACAGGCTATAGCTATAGGAGATTACAAAAGATTTTCAATTTCTTCTTAATACTTTGATCTATTTTTCTCAATTTTCTACAGCAAATATACATTATATCAAGAAGACGAATCATAAAACCACGCTGTTTTTGCATTTAAAATTTAGTGAAGTTATTCAGGAAGATTCTAGTTCAATACAAGGTTAACAAATACGGTTAAAATGAAATCACAATTTCATATAGTTGAGAAAGCAAACATCAATGCAAGATATTATCTTAGTTTCTTTATCACATAGAAAGGTGATAAAGAAATGAATGGTGGCTCAGGCCTGTAATTCCAGCACTTTGGGAGGCTGAGACGAGCAGGATCACTTGAGCCCAAGAGTTCCAGACCAGCCTGGCCAACACGATGAAAACCTGTTTCTACTAAAAATACACTTACTTCTCACATTACCAAAAGCATGCTAGTCACCTCTGCACAACCTTGCAATATGTTAAAACTGCATTTCTAATCCCAATAAGCTAATTTAAAAAACCACTTTATGACTCAAATAAAAACTTACCCTTTATTGAGTACTAGGCTTTCCTCTTCGGCTTCTGAAAGTATAATCACCTTAGTGGGTGTCTGGGGCTCACGTAGCGAGTAAATTCTAGCAACCAAAAGAGAAGAAAATCAGCACTTAAAATTCTCTTTTCCTTTCCCAAAACTGCACTTTCCTCTCCATCTAGTCAGTTCTTGAGAATTTTCCCACCACTTATCACAACTATTTCTTTGCAAAAATCTTGCTGTTGCAAAGTAGTCTACTTCATTTATTCTTTTTTTTTTTTGAGACGGAGTCTCGCTCTGCCGCCCAGGCTGGAGTGCAGTGGCTGGATCTCAGCTCACTGCAAGCTCCGCCTCCTGGGTTCAGGCCATTCTCCTGCCTCAGCCTCCCGAGTAGCTGGGACTACAGGCGCCCGCCACCGCGCCCGGCTAGTTTTTTGTATTTTTTTTCAGTAGAGACAGGGTTTCACCGTGTTAGCCAGGATGGTCTCGATCTCCTGACCTCGTGATCCGCCCGTCTCGGCCTCCCAAAGTGCTGGGATTACAGGCTTGAGCCACCGCGCCCGGCCACTTCATTTATTCTTTAACTACATGAGGGAGGTTTCACTGGGACCTGAAGAAATGTTCTCTATCCTTACCAATATTCTTTAACAGCCTATTCCATACCACTGCACCTCTGTCACTTCCGTCCTGAGCCCTTAGCTATACTCGCCTTGTCCAGTCATCTCACTATTGCCCCTAAGCTTGCCAGTTTTCCTTCAACTACACACATCTATCTCTGCCTATTAGACACCAAATCCCACCACAGAAAGAACCGTATCTTATTCTTTATATGCCAACTGGCTTGACAGAGTGAGTGACATTTAGCCTGCAAATCTATTTATGTGTTTGTTCTATAAAAACCCAACATCGGCCGGGCACAGTGGCTCACACCTATAATCCTAGCACTTTGGGAGGCTGAGGTGCGCGGATCACTTGAGGTCAGGAGTTTGTGACCAGCCTGGCCAACATGGTGAAACCCTGTCTCTACTAAAAATACAAAAAATATTTGGGTGTGGTGGCACACACCTGTAATCCCAGCTGCTCGGGAGGCTGAGGCAGGAGAATCGCTTGAATCTGGGAGGTGGAGGTTGCAGAGAGCTGGAGGCTGGAGTGAGCCAAGATCATGCCACTGCACTCCAGCTTGGGTGACAGAGTGAGACTCCATTTAAAAAAAAAAAAGAACCAAACAAACAAACCCAATATCATATCATCTCTATTTTCTCAAGGTAAAGTATGATACTGATTTTTTTTAACCAAAATTATTTTAACGTAAAGTAACCTATATTTCACAGCATATAAGGCTATTGTGAAAAAGGGAAAGAATTTTCAAAAGGCCAGTAATGTCATTTTAGAAATCCAGTGTCCCTTACAATCACTTATTTTGTCTGACGCCACTAAGAATTTTTAAACTTGGTTTCTTCCAATATCAATAAAATGCCACATTAAGTAGTTAATAAATGTTTTTCATGATAATTTGATCCATTTGAATACACATTTATTACAGTCTTCCTAGGTTCCTACAAGCGTTACTAACTTGAAAATACACATAAATACTAGACAATAATGTTGTATTGGGGAACAGTGAAAGAAAAAGAAAGTGTAACAGGGCATTCGGTGAAAATTTCCTTCTGCTCTGAAATTGCCCAAAATCTCCAAAGCTTAGGAAAACAGAAGTGTTAAGTACCACATATTTTAAAAAAGAACCTTCAATATCTGGGGCCAGACACTTCCTCTGGGGCTTAAGAACTGTACCTACGCTATCTTCCCACCATCTCCTTTTCCATCATAGGATATAAAAGGAAGACTAAGAAGAGAGGATGTCAGAGTCCTTCGGAGTACAGTATAATGTTTGTGCTGGGAAGATTTTCCCTCCCCTCTTTCTCTGCCCTGAACTCCAAAGCCAAACGGGTGGGCAGGGAAGGCTCTAGGAAAGAGCCAGATGTGGAGGTACCTGTAACAAGGGAGACTGGTGCATTTCCTAGCTGAATGCCCCTTAGTCACGTAGTAACTGTCTCAGTTATTAGATCGAAAAAACATAGCAATACACACATATCATGTTCAGTACCATCTACAGTTTCAGGCATTCACTGGGGGGTCTTGGAATATACACCCTGCAGATAAGTTATACTGTACCCCATCTTGAGAGAGGATTCAGGGCATAGAGAACTGACAGGAGCCAATGGGAGCCAGAGCTCCTCAGTGATGGGGAGAGCTGGAAGTTCAACACTGCCCTCCAACACACACACACACACACACACACACACACACACACACCCCATCTATGCAGAGACTACCACATCAACGGAGTTCACTGGTGACAGATGGAACGAGATTAAAACAAGATCAGGCATACTTCCCCATCACTACCAGTTTGGTAAGATCTCTACCTCACCTATCCCACTCCCCTACCCCACACTGAAGGAGTTAGATTTGGAGGAAGGAGGAGGCAGCCCATTCCTTACACTTCACCCTATGCTCCAAAGTGCTGGGATAAGAGGAAGAGTGAAAGAGCAGACCGCACACTCTCCAATCGCTTCTGATCCCACAAAACACAGGTCTGACCTACAAAAGGGCCAGGACATAGTTGTGAAATAGATTTGAGATCAAATAGCTTTTGAAATTTTTATTTTCTTTAGACAGGGTTTCACTCTGTTACCCAGTGGTATGATCATGGCTCACTGCAGCCTCAAACTCCTGGGCTCAAGCAATCTTCCTATCTCAGTCTCCTGAGTAGCTAGGACTACCGGCACATGCCATTATGCCCAGCTAATTTTTCTGCAGAGACAGGATCTCACTGTGTTGCCCACATTGGTCTCAAACTCAGGGGCTCAAGTGATCCTCCCACCTCGGCCTCCCAAAATGCTGGGATTACAGGTGTGAGCCACTGCAACTGGCCAAGATTGGAGTTTTAAACTGGACGCACTGTTTTCATAACTAGAAGTAACAAGAAAGCTATGGGGATCTGTACAAGACACCATTAAGGGGGGAGCTGTTCAGCAGTGAAGGAAGATTTAGTAGAGCACAGTTAAAAGCAGTGATTAAGAAAAATAAAACTGAAGGTATCTGTACTTCTGCTGAGTCCTCCCAATTAACGATCCAGAAAGTTAACTGATAATATAGTAGAAATCTACATAGCATTAGGGCATTTAATAATAGAGTGCAAAGCTTAGAAGAGGCTTTAGAAACTATTGAATCAAACCTGCTCAACTTAAAAGATTGGAAACTGAGCCACCCCCATCCCTAAAAAGAAGCTCAAGATCTCAAAGATAACAGAAGAGGAGGTGGGACAAGAATTCAAATCTCTGAATTTATACTTATATTCTCTTTCTTTTATGCTACATTATCACCAAAAGGTGACATGATGAAAGAGTTTTGGAAAGATTATTCTAATGTGTCAGATTAGGAAAGGAGATACTTGGAGGCAGGAAGACTAGTTGAGAAGGAATAGTGGTAAGTAAGGCACGTAAGTTAGGGCAGTTAGGTGATTCTTATGATTGAGAATGGGTTACAACAGCCATCAGATAAAAGCAGACTCATTCAATGACTCACTTTGTTTTATGTTGAGCTGTTAATTGGCAAACAGAAACAGAGCTTTCCCACTTGCAAGGCTTCAAGAGAGAGAAAAATAAAATTTACCTTATTACGTTGTCTGATGTTAACAGCACTATGTGGGGATCCAGTATTTCACTTGGATACCATGCAGCATGCTTTAGAGTCAGAGAGGTAGAACTGGTGAAAAATCTCTCAGCAACTGGAGTGGTACTAAAATAAAGATAATAATTTTCCAAAACATTTTATACAACTTTGATGAAAAATCTTCTAAAGGAACTTCTTTTTTTTTTTTTTTTTGAGATGGAGTTTCTCTCTTGTTGTCCAGGCTAGAGTTTAATGGCACAATCTTGGCTCACTGCAACCTCCGTCTACTGGGTTCAAGCGATTCTCCTGCCTCAGCCTCCCGAATAGCTGGGATTACAGGCACCTGCCATCACGTCCAGCTAATTTTTTGTTTTCAGTAGAGAGGGGGTTTTGCCACATTGGTCAGGCTGGTCTCAAACTCCCGATCTCAGGTGATCTGCCCGCCTCGGCCTCCCAAAGTGCTGGGATTACAGGTGTGAGCCACCGTAAAAGGCCCTAAAGGAATTTCTATTTTAACACTCTTTGCTTCTCTTTCCTTCAAATGTATTTCCCTGAAATCATGCTGAGAGGGCATTCAAGGCATCTATTCAAACAATATCAAAGAACTGAAATAAAAATATCTTCTAAATTATAGCACATTGGCTGGGTGCGATGGCTCACACCTATCTTAGCACTTTGGGAGGCCAAGACAGGTGGATCACCTGAGGTCAGGAGTTTGAGATCAGCCTAGTCAACATAGTGAAACCTCGTTTCCACTAAAAATACAAGAATCAGGGAAGTGTGGTGGCGCGTGCCTGTATTCCCAGTTACCCATGAAGCTCAGGCAGGAGAATCGCTGGAACCCAGGAGGCGGAGGCCACAGTGAGCTGAGCTCGCGCCACTGCACTCCAGCTTGGACTACAGAGCGAGACTCTGTCTCAAAATAAATAAATAATTTATTTTAATAATTTAATTAAATTTTATTTATTTATTTATTTGAGATGAAGTCTCGCTCTGTGGCTCAAGCTGGAGTGCAGTGGTGCGATCTTGGCTCACTGCAACCTCCGCCTTCCGGGTTTAAGCAATACTTGTGCCTTATCCTCTTGAGTAGCTAGGACTACAGGTGTGTGCCATCACACCCAGCTGATTTTTTGTATTTTAATAGAGATGAGGTTTCACCATGTTGCCCAGGGTGGTCTCAAACTCCTGAGCTCAGGCAATCCACCCACCTGGGCCTCCCAAAGTGGTGGGATTACAGGCGTGAGCCACCGTGCCTGGCCTCAAATTATATAATATTTCATACATATATATATACATTTTAGGATGGTTTGACTTAGGATTGATACATATTTTACACAGTACAAGTGTTTTCAGATATAGTATCTCATTTGATGCTTTTACTAACCCTGTTAGGAAATTACAAGGGCAGATATTATCAATCCTGTTTTTAAAACGAGGAAACAGAGACTTAGGAAATAAACAGTTTAAGGGGACTCAACTTATAAGTTGTGGAGCTAAAAGTAGTTTCTACCTTATACAGATGATCCCCAACTTTACAATGGGTTTACCAGTACATAATCCATCATAAATCGAGGAGCTCCTTATGACTTATGATGGGTTCATAATGTTGAAAAATCCTATGCTGAACCATCCTAAATCAGGGATCATCTGCTGTGCTGTCAGCAATAAATGCATTTTCAACTTAAACTGGGTTTATCGGGACATGACCCAATCGTAAGTTGACAAGCATCTGTACTCTTTTGAGTAGATCTTTCAGATTCACTTTTCTGGATTTGTTGAAAAAGAAATTATATAAAAATAGGCCAGGTGTGGTGGCTCACACCTATAACCTCAACACTTTGGGAGGCTGAGGTGGGTGGATCACTTGAGGTCAGGAGTTCAAGACCAGCTTGGCCAACATGGTGAAACCCCATCTCTACTAAAAATACAAAAATTAGCTGGGTGTGGCAGCGCTTGCCTGTAATCCCAGTTACTCGGGAGGCTGATGCACGAGTATTACTTGAATCCAGGAGGCGGAGGTTGCAGTGAGCCGAGATTGTGCCACTGCACTTCAGCCTGAGTGACAGAGCAAGACTCCATCTCAAAAAAATATATATATATATATACACATACACATATATAAACACACACACACATATATATACATATATATATATATATAAAAAATACTTCTACCTAGTTGAAAGAATGGCCTAGCCTCCAATGAGAGAGCAATGTGGTACTTCAGGCAGAATAAAAGTACAATCAATCACACATATACTATAAACATTGATAACACAGAAGCCAGTCTGCAGACCACGAGGAGTGCTCTAATGTTTCAAAAGCAGTATACTAAACATGCTTAAGAACCACTGGTCTTGAACAATTTTCTGTATATATAATAAATGATACAGATAAATACCATACAACTTACCTACAATTCACTGTTGATTTTCCACCTTCAAATTCAGAATTCTTCCCCCATCTCTTAGGTAATTCTAATACCATAAGTCCTTTTATTCCTATAAGTGCTACATGATGTTGTGTTGGACTTAACAAGACTTGATAGATTTCAAACAGGGGTGGATTTATGCAAAGCAATCTCTGAAAATTAAAGCAAACCAGTCAATATAGTTAGTTTTAATATAAATATGGATGGCAGTTACTTGAAATCACAGTAATAGTTTAGTTTACAACAATTATAGGATAATAAAACTCTGGGTAAGTGCTCACACTTGTACCATTAACTCATGTTTTTTTGAGATGGAGTCTTGCTCTGTCACCAGGCTGGAGTGCAGGGGTCCACTATTGGCTCACTGCAACCTCCGCCTCCCGGGTTCAAGCGATTCTCCTGCCTTAGCCTCCTGAGTAGCTGGGACTATAGGCGCACATCACCACGCCCAGGGAATTTTTGTATTTTTAGTATAGACGGGGGTTTCACCATGTTGGCCAGGATGGTCTCGATCTCTTGACTCATGATCACCTGCCTTGGCCTCCCAAAGTGCTGGGATTACAGGCGTGAGCCACCGCCCCCGGCCATGAAATTTTTTTAATCATCTAGATTGGAATGTTCCATAAAATGCATCAGATTTCCTTACCTTGATAAATAGAGACTACTACACGTAATGTTCCTTCTTATAATCAAGCTCCACCCTACTACTCCAGGTCTCAACTCTCCACCACTCTTCTGCTTGTACCTCACACTCCAAACAGATTAATTGGTATTTCTGTATTTCTGGGAAATCATCATGCTTTGCCATGCCTTTGTGTCTTTGTACAATTGTTTCTCTTCTTGCAATGCTTTTGATTTTTTTTTTTTTTTTTTAACAAGACTTACACATTCTTGGGAGATTCAGCTTCTATGTACTTTCTTCCCAAGAAAACATCCCTGATCTTCTGGCCAGGAATAAGTGCATATTTCCTGTTTTTTTTTTTTTCCTGAGAGAGTCACGCTCTGTCGCCCAGGCTGAAGTGCAGTGGTACGATTTCGACTTACTGTAACCTCTGCCTCCTGATTTTTAGTAGAGATGGGCCTCCTGGCCTCAACTGATCTGCCCACCTCAGTCTCCCAAAGCGCTGGGATTAAAGGCGTGAACCACTGCGCCTGGCCATCTTTTCTGTACATCAATGATATGCTCTGGATAATTCTATTATACTTATTATCACCCTACATTCTAATTGTCCTTTTTACTTGCTCATCCCACACAACTATGAATTACCTGAGATCTACATCTTTCCTCTCTGTGTTCTTAGCATTCTGGCATACTGCTGACTCTCAACAGATGCTTAGTAGATAGACATAAACTCAGAATTAATAAGCAATGATAATTATTATATAATAGTAAAGAATGGCTTGAAGGCCAAGTACAGCGTCTCACACCTGTAATCCCAGTACTTTGGGAGGCTGAGGAAAGTTTGAGACCAGCCTGGGCAATACAGTGAGACCTCATTTCTACAAAAACTGGGGGGAAAAAAAGGGTGGCTTTAAGAGCTTCTGTAGCAAGCAGAATGCTGCTTTACCCATGAAGGCTTAGTAACAGTGATCTTTTCATGAGATTCTGGTATGTTGTGTCAGCATCACATGTCCTCAAAATTCTCTTCTTCTCTTGGTTCTATTTGTTCTCCCATAACCATCTGTTTCTTTTCTTTCTACTTTCAGGAATATGTTATGAGACTGCCAAGGTATTGTTTATCTTTATGTATGAAGAATTACCCTAAGCCAAAATGCTTTTAGAACAGACACGACTGTTCTAAATACAATATTTCAAATTGCTGATGTCTGTAATTTTTGTTTTTGGTTTTTCTAGTTGCCCTTTGCTGATTCTAATCAAATTATTTCTCCTCGTCTTTCCTTCTTTTCTCTATATTCAACCCCCATCTTCTTTCCGCTGGTTTTGTTTTTGTTTTTCTAGTTGCCCTTTGCTGATTCTAATCAAATTATTTCTCCTCGTCTTTCCTTCTTTTCTCTATATTCAACCCCCATCTTCTTTCCGCTTGATTTTTCTAGTCAAATGCAAACCAAACAAAGGCCACCTTTCTTGTTACATATACAATTCAATCAATTTAGTTCATTCACAATAATCACAGTATTTCGGTTGCTGTTGTTGTTTTTAAAGTTACAACTCATGCTTTTTTTTTTGAGATGGAGTCTTGCTCTGTCACCCAGGCTGGAGTGCAGTGGCAGCCCACTGCAGCCTTTACTGTAGGGGCTCAAGTGTCCTTCCCACCTCAGCTTCCAGAGGAGCTGGGACTACAGGTATGCACCACCATGCCCAGCTAATTAAAAAGGTTTTTTTTGTAGAGATGGGGGTTTCCTCCTGTTGCCCAGGCTGGTCTTGAACACCTGTTCCTGTGCTCAGAAGATCCACCTGCCTCCACCTTGGCCTCCTAAAGTGCTGATTATAGGCTAGAGCCACTACACCCAGCTTACTCATGCTTTTAACATCCAAAGTTACAACTCATGATAAGCTGCTTTCTTCCCCATCTCTAAGGTTTTGAGATTCTGGAGGAGGGAAGGTTACCGAGAGTCACCAATATTTACTGAGAGCTTATAAATTCTGGGCACTCCAGCATTTTTGTATGCTGGACAACAATTTTGTAGCCTGAGCAACAGAGAAAGACCCCATCTCAAAAATAAAAAATAAAACAAATTTTTTAAAAATGAGAAGGGCAGACCCTGCCCCTGCCTTGGAGCTTACAGTCTAGAAAAAAAGACAGAGGCAGAGCGCCAAAGCTTACGGCTGGAATGCCAGCACTTTGGGAGGCCAAGGCGGGTGGATCACCTGAGGCCAGGAGTTCCAGATCAGCCTGGTCAACATGGTGAAACCCCGTCTCTACTAAAAATACAAAAAGCAGCCAGGTATGGTGGTGTGGGCCTGTAAACCCAACTACTCAAGAGGCTGAGGCAGGAGAATCGCTTGAATCCAGGAGGTGGAGGTTGCAGTTAGCTGAGATTGCACCACTGCACTCCAGCCTGGGCAATAGAGCGAGATCCTGTCTCAAAAAGAAAAGAAAAGAAAAAAAAAAAAAGGCCGGCGCAGTGGCTGACTGCCTGCAATCCCAACACTTTGGGAGGCCGAAGCAAGTGGATCACGAGGTCAGGGCTTCGAGACCAGCCTGGCCAACATGGTGAAACCCCGCCTCTACTAAAAATACGAAAATTAGTCGGGCGTGGTGGTGGATGCCTGTAATCCCAGCTACTCCAGAAGCTGAGGCAGGAGAATCGCTTGAAACCGGAAGGCAGAGGTTGCGGTGAGCCGAGATGGCCTCATTGCACTCCAGCCTGGGAAACAAGAGCCAACTCCGTCTCAAAAAAAAAAAAAAAAAAAAAGTAATTATAAATAATTAAATTATAATTGTGTCAAATGCTACATAGCAATATAAGATGTTATCGAAATACTGTGTGCTGAACATTTGGTAATTATTATTTTTTGAGACGGAGTGTGTTGCTCTGTTGCCCAGGCTGGAGTGCAGTGGCTAGATCTCAGCTCACTGCAGCCTCCGCCTCCCAGGTTCAAGAGATTCTCCTTCCTCGAGCACCCGAGTAGATGGATTACAGGTGCGCGCCACCACGCCTGGCTAATTTTTGTATTTTTAGTAGAGACGAGGTTTCACCATGTTGGCGAGGCTGGTCTCGATTTCCTGACTTCAGGTGATCCACCCGCCCAAGCCTCCCAAAGTGTTGGGATTACCGTCGTGAGCCACCGCGCCCGGCCTTGATAATTTTTAACTGAAACTGTTTAAGTAAGCAAACTGTAGACTCTTGCCCTATTTTCAAAATTGCAGAAGCATTGCTAGCGTCTTACTAAAATTAAGTCACTTCTCGGTAACAAGAGTTGGACCGGGCCCACAACAGATGTCATACCTTAGAATGAGTACCAAGCGCTTTACTTTTTAATCTTTAAGAGAATCTGTGTATTACAAACAAACATTTCCATAAACCAATATTTGATCACAGCAAGTGTGTAATACTTTCTGGATCACGCCCATTTTCACATGCTGTTGGCTAATCAAAAACAAAAATCCCAATTTGGGGTATGGCTTTATTTTCTAAAGCGGGCGTTGGGGGTGGGGAGGAGTATTAACAGAGACTTTCTCCTCCATGTCAAGCATGAAACGTGGTGCTTTGAAACCTGCTACCTGACTTGCTGTGCCCAACCCAAGAGAAACTTACGATCTATGCCTATTAGAAGTGTCATGTCAGGGAACAGGTTTCTCCCGACCAAACTAAAAATAGCAACTCCGCCCACTCGTTCTCAACCCCTTGAGCCCGCTTTGTTTATCTCCAGAGCACTCATCCATCACTAGTATTTTTATTGATTATTCCATGGTCCTTTCCTTCCTCCCAGATCTCCAGGCCGTAAGCATGGAGAGAGCCTGAGTCCCCGCGACCGCGTAGGGCAGTGTCGGAGCCAATCCGCGGGAACGCCTGCCACGAGATGAAAAAACAGCCAAGAGGGGAAAGAACAAAAAACTAGTTCAGATCCCCGTGAGGGTCACTTCCAGATCGGCCTGACAGTACCTGGTACCGGGACAGGGCGGGCTCTTCATCGCCGCCGCCGGGGCCCCGAAGGCGAACGACTAAGAAGGAGCTGTCTTCTGCGTCCCACAGGAAGAGCTCTCCGCCGAGGCCAAAGACCACGTTTCTCGTCAGCAACTGCTGCGGCGGCGACGAAGGCAACGACGAAGAAGCTGGTTTCTCAGCTTCGGCTGGACTCTGGTTTTTCAGTCCCTCCTGGAGCCGCAGGAACACGACGTGGTTAGGAAGCCAGGTCTGCCACAGCTCGCCGTCGCCCACTAGTCCTTCTGCGGCCGCCATCTTGGCCCAACTGCTCTTCTCATTCCAGTTGCTCAGCCCGCCGCTGAGCGCAGCCAATCCGCGGCCGTCCACTCACTGCTTCGGCCAATCATCGAGCAGGCGGCCCGGAAGCTCGAGAGGCTCGTGCCAGGGGAGGGGCGAGGGCGAGGCCAGCCCACCGGGCAGGAGCGTCGCCAAGGGACACCCAATCACCATTATTTCTGAAGCCCAAGGGGGCGGGACGAGAAGTCAGCGGAATGGTGATGCTACTGGAAGTCTAGCACCTGGGGAGAGACAGACTTGTGTATCTAATTGCCTGTTGGACACCTCCATCTGAGTAAACCCAGGCATCCAGAACTTTCCCTCAAGACTTACCTCCCTCAATGCAGGTTGGGCTGGCCTCACACATTTCGCTTGGATGCCTAAATCTGTTTCCACGTGGGGCCGGCCGGTAATACAACGCTTCCCAGAATACCCTGCGATCCAAGAGCAGTCTGCAGGCGGAAACTACAACTCCCAGGGGTCTGTGCGCGCCGTCAGGGGGCGGGGCTTGCGGCCTTGTCTCCCGCGGAGAGGAGATGGCGGAGTCATTGAGGTCCCCCCGCCGCTCCTTGTACAAATTGGTGGGCTCGCCGCCTTGGAAAGAGACTTTCCGGCAGGTGGGTGTGGGGTTTGCGCCGTGGTCACTATCCCAGTCCGTCCCGGCGACCGCCGTCTTCCCTGCCTTCGCCTTAGCCCTGCTCGGTGGAGCAGGTGCCGGAGCGCTCCTGGTCTGTGGAAGCAGACCTCAAACCCAGGCCTCCTGACTGTAGAGTGTGGGATTAGCCCGGGTCGGCCCAGTCCTAGAAAGCCTTGTTTTTGGATTCGGTTTTGTTTTGAATTTAAAGTGTGGTCATTGGCCGGGCACGGTGGCTCACGCCTGTAATCCCAGCACTTTGGGAGGCCGAGACGGGCGGATCACGAGGTTAGGAGATCGAGACCATCCTGGCTAACACGGTGAAACCCCGTCTCTACTAAAAAATACAAAAAACAAGGCCGGGCGCGGTGGCTCAAGCCTGTAATCCCAGCACTTTGGGAGGCCGAGACAGGCGGATCACGAGGTTAGGAGATCGAGACCATCCTGGCTAACACGGTGAAACCCCGTCTCTACTAAAAAATACAAAAAACTAGCCGGGCGAGGTGGCGTGCGCCTGTAGTCCCAGCTACTCGGGAGGCTGAGGCAGGAGAATGGCGTAAACCCGGGAGGCGGAGCTTGCAGTGAGCTGAGATCCAGCCACTGCACTCCAGCCTGGGCGACAGAGCGAGACTCCGTCTCAAAAAAAAAAAAAAAAGTGTGGTCATGACATCACCCTTTGCACCTCTGCAGTAACACTATCTACTGTTGCTGCGGAGGTGGCCCCCGAGAGAGGCACTTTGCCTACGGTCGTCTTGTGAGATAGAGATGATTTCTATTCTAGAGAGTAGTAAACCGAGGCTTAGAAGAGCGCTCCACTTCAGTTCTGGCCTCTTCTGAACACAGTGTGGTTGCTAGTAAGTAATGTCCAAGAAAGTAACCCGACTCAAGAAAGATAGCAGATATAGCAGAGTTTCTCAGCCTTGACAATGGACATTTTGAGGAAGATATTTACATGTTGTGGAGGGCTGTTTAAGCCACATCTCGGGCCTCTACCCACTAGATGCTAATAGTCCTATAACTAGAATTGTGACAACCAAAAATGTCTCCAAGCATTGCCAAATGTTCCTTGGGGGACAGAACCTCCCTGAGTTCAGAAACGCTGCTGTGCAGGAAGGCTGTTACCCAGCCATATCTAGAGTAGCAAGAATTTGGAAGGAATATAAATGTTCTGTAATAGGACATTGGATGCCGAGAGATTATGCACACAACCATCAAGGAAACTGGCAAGCTAGAATAAAAAATACGGTTATATGTAAATACATGCACAAAGCATTGTAATTTTATGTATCTCTACAGAGGAATATGCAAAAGTAACACTAGTTAGTATTATCATTGAAATTTTGTGTCTATAAACTTTCTTTAATGTTTTCCCAACTACTGTAAGAGTGTTTTTTAAAAGTAGAAATGGTTTTTTTTTTTTTTTCCTCCCCATCTTGGTCTTTTTTCCCAGAGATGCCTGGAGAGAATGAAAAACAGCCGGGACAGGCTCCTAAACAGGTACCGCCAGGCTGGAAGCAGTGGGCCAGGGAATGCTCAGAACACCTTTCTAGTGCAAGAGGTGATGGAAGAAGAGTGGAATGCTTTGCAGTCAATGGAGAATTGTCCAGAAGACTTGGCTCAGGTCAGGCTGGCTATGTGTTTTCAGGAGGACTCCAAGAACGGCTACTGTCCTTTTTTACTTGTTTACTTGAGTCCCCTAAACCCACCATTCCCCTACCCCCATTTAGAATTCAACAGTCTTTTTTTGTATGTGTGAGACGGAGTCTCACTCTGGCGCCCAGGCTGGAGTGCAGTGGCGCTATCTGGGCACAGTGCAAGCTTCGCCTCCCTGGTTCACGCCATTCTCCTGCCTCAGCCTCCCGAGTAGCTGGGACTACAGGCGCCTGCCACCACGCCCGGCTAATTTTTTGTATTTTCAGTAGAGACGGAGTTTCACTGTGTTAGCCAGGATGGTCTCGATCTCCTGACCTCGTGATCCGCCTGCTTCCGCCTCCAAAAGTGCTGGGATTGCAGGCGTGAGCCACTGCGCCCGGCCTAGAATTCAACAGCCTTTAACCCAGTCTTTTCTACCCTTAATGTTAGACTTGTCTAGATGAATTGTTCTGAAATACCAGACCGTAGATCTGCTCATCACTGCAACATCATCATTTATGAAACTAAAAAGAAAGAAATTTCATTTCTTGCCTCCACCCTTGGAAATTATGATTTAGTAGGCATAGGCTAGGAATCTCTTTCTTTCTCTCTCTCTCTCTTTTTTTTTTTTGTCTTGCTCTGTCACCCAGGCTGGAGTGCAGTGGCAAGATCTCGGCTCACTACAGCCTCCACCTCCTGGGTTCAAATGATTCTCCTGCCTCAGCCTCCCAAGTAGCTGGGATTATAGATGTGTGCCACCATGCCTGGCTAATCTTTTTTCTGTTTTTAGCTGGGATGGGGTTTCACCATGTTGGCCAGGCTGGTCTTGAACACCTGACCTCCAGTGATCTGCCCACCTCAGGAATCTCTTTCTAAAAAGGTCTCCAGAAACTTTCAGATTCTAATCTCAGCCAGTGTTGGGAGCCATGTGTGGGAAGGATACCATTTATAGTGTATCAGGAAGAGCACTGGATTCGAAGTCAGGAGTTCCAGAATTCAAATCCTGGTTTGGCTGTTGACTCTTAACTTCAGTCTGCCTCTTTGAGGTTTAGTTTTCACATTTATAAAATGAGAAGATCATGTTTTCAGCATTGTAAGGATTATGTAAGAAAATGCGAGCAACTGTTTGAAACTATCAATGCACTGTGTAATAACGATGCATTATTCAGTGGCTTCTATGTGTCCTACAATACACCAATGTTTGCCTTACATTACCACAATTAGTACTCACAGTAACCCTCTTAGATAGATTTTATTCCCACTTTACAGAGGCCGAAACTGAGATTTGCAGAGACTAGGAACTTTTCCTGTGATTACATAGCCTTGGAAGAATATGTACCTAACTCCTACCCTATATCGTCTCTCCAAAAGCGGGTACCATTATTTTGTCACTGGGTAGTTGGATCATTTGTTGACAACGTGTCAGCATGACAGCATTACCCCACTGTCAGTGTATTGTGCAGGAGGACTGGACTGATTCTATCCGGCAAATCTGGGTTCTTCAAGCCAGCCTCCAAGTATGAATCATTGTGGGGCTTGGTTGGTGATTAATACTTCAAACTTCTGATGCCTCCCCTTTCTCTTCCAGTTGGAGGAGCTGATAGACATGGCTGTGCTGGAGGAAATTCAACAGGAGCTGATCGACCAAGGTAACCCCTAGGAGTAGTCCTTCCTTACCTGTATTTAGCTACTCAAATGCTGTGACTTTTCCTCCAATCAGGATTAGTTCATAAGTCCCCTGTGTCTACCTCTATCGATCAAGTGTCCAAAAGGCTCTTTTTGTACTCTGACATCTTGGCTGTCTAGCTTCCCAATAATAAGGGTCTCCAGGGTGCTAGGCTTTGTGCTAAGAACTTCTCATTTAATGATGCTGTTTTCTCCACGTGACTGCCCTGTAAGATAGTAGTAGTAGAACAGAAGGTGGTGTTCTCATGCAGGTCACACAGCTAGTAAGTGGAGGAGATGGGAAGCAAAATCAGTTGTGTGAATCCAGTTCTTGTGTTTCTTCTACCATCCTGCCTCTCTATTAATGGGTTAATAGTTCACTGAGGGTGGTGGCTTATGCCTCTAATCCCAGCACTTTGAGAGGCTTAGGCAGGAGTATTGCTTGAGGCCAGTTGAAGACCGTCATGGGCAACATAACAAGACCCTGTCTCTACAAAAGTAAAAAAGTTAGCTGGGTGTGGTAGCACATACTTGTAGCCTCCCTCATCCAGAAGGCTTAGGCAGGAGGATCACTTGAACCCAAGAGTTTAAGGTTACAGTGAGCTATAATCGTACCACCTCACTCCAGCCTGGCCGACAGAGTGAGATCCTGTCTCTTAAAAAAATAAACAAATAAAAAGTAAACCTGCCACTTTACAGGATACAGTGACAGTGCGTGGTCCGATCCCTTGCCCTATTCATTTCAAGTGCCACATTTTCTCTTAACTCCCCAGGGCCTGTGAGCATCCACTCCTTGAGGGAGGTGCCCATAGCACTGTGTAGAGAGCATAATTTTGTACTTTATATAGTTAAGTCATTTTTTCCATGTAGCCCTGATTTGATTTGGTCTGTGCCACACAAATTAAAGTGGTAAAGCCAAGTGAATCTTAGAGGTATGACTCAAGGGTTTGCGCTCTTGCCTTATCATAACAATAGCTGTTGATTCCTGAAAGCTCTCTATATGCCAGGCAATGCACTAAGTCTTTTTTTTTTCTTTTCTTTTTTTTTTTTTTTGAGACACGGTTGCTGCCCAAGCTAGAATGCAGTGGTGTGATCACAGCCCACTGCCGCCTTGACCGCCTGGGCTCAAGCGATCTT